AAAACAATAAAACTGCCTAACACTGGAGTTAAAATCGATTCCGTCATCTAGATAGTGGTGTTTTGCAATCATAGGACCGCCCTTGCAAACACGGCGTCACATCGCGTTAGCTTAATTTTCCTCTGAATTTGAAACGGAGATTTATGGAAAGAGCTGACTCTCTAATTATTAAGAAAACACAGATCGCTAATATTTGATGTGTGGGCCAATGTTATCCTTATGATAAATGTGAAGTAGTTGTGTGGGCTTTGAACAGAACGGAAAGAATATCGTTCAACGTCTCACAGAACTCGTGTAGCGAGAAGTTGAACATAACGCGGCCTGATGGAAAAGTCTTGTAGGAAGTAACACCTGTCTTGTAGCGCCTCCTTAGACAGCCAGGTGTCATGTTCGCGATAGTCCTCTGTTAACTACAGGGCTCGTCCCCCCCCCCCCCCCTTTCATTTGTACAGCCACGCTCCGTCCCAGATTTCAACCTACTTGCGTCCTCAACCTGTATGCATCTAATGGTGGGCATGGTTTCTGTTAACATTCAGTTTTTTTACATTTGGCAGCGACCATTTTATAATACGATTTCTGTATTAAGTACCCACTTCAATTCTCTTCATGCAGAACCACTTAATACCACGATGTTGTAGTAGTGCTGTTGAATATTTAAAGACACATAATAGGATAGCTGTGTAGGAGGGTACTTAGCGTTTCGTTTACTCACTGGAGTAAGCAACATGGCTTCAGTGGTGTAAACATTCATCTCCACACCTCAACAAATCAGAACTGTATATTACACGGGGAACCCGCTTATCTTCATTTGGATGAGGCTTCCCCCTTACAGCAAACACTGAAAGTGATACAGGTCTCTGTACGTATACATCTCTGCGGGATACTTGAAAGTACTATTGATTTGGTTCTGTACATGTGTGCTTTAAAGTTAAATGACAAAGTATGATTGATAGAATATAATTTCCTATATGGAAACTCTGGGCGTGAGGCCCATATCGGGTGGTTTGGGGTATTGTGGGTGGTGGCGACTGATTTATAAAAATGATGTTAAAATAAGAACGTTTCATATTCTTATTTTTAAACAAAACATCAATCTAGCATAATTCAAAGTGATTTAATGTTGTATTGACACACCTTTTTGCATCTGGTCATTATAAAAGCGCTGGTTCTATTTTCTTTAAAACACCCACGCGATGTACAATGTGATAGATAGGTAATCGAAGCCGGTGTGCCAAGGATGGTGGTCCGAGTTCCAATGGAGCCAAGTGATCAGCTTTTAATTTTGCAGTGTGTTTACAAGTGAAACTACGAAATGTCCCATTCCGTTGTAAAGAAACAGAGGTTCCACGTAACAAAAAAAACCCGCCCTTCAATACCAATAGAATTGTATTGTTTAGCGTTAACATGACGTTAGCGGTCAGAATCTATGAAGGGGATTTCCTGCACAAATCACTGGGAACTAGACCCTGTATCACGGGGGACTCTCTCGTACACGATATGCAGTGTGACAGGAATGGTAGTCCGCTAGGAACCGTAGTCCGTTCCCCATTACTGTGTACAGGGAAAATTTGTTCCACAACTGGCCCTAATACTCCGACTAACCCTAATCTGTACCTATTATATGGAGGAATGGACTTCCATTCCTAGGACTTCCATTCCTGTCAGACGGGCATATTTTTTGAGATACACATCACAGCGAAGTAACGCTCGAGTCAGAACTTTTCCTTGCTTTCGTACTTTCTTTGGATGATTACTGATTTATCAGTTCGTCTGATGTCTTCTTTTTTAACTTAACGATTCAGATGACTATTCTTGTATGTTTTGGACAGTCTATGTAGGCACTTCTAAGTTATTTATTAAAATATTAAGATATAAACTATTTAAAAATATTTTACCGCGTAAAGTATGGTTTAAAAAATCTTGTCCACAATTTTAAAATATTAAGTTGCCATCATTTAAGGGTTGGTTTTATATGCTTACTGTTATGTCTCAATCATACATTTCTTATTTCAAATCGATTTTTCACCTCAAGCACAGGGAAAAAAGTTGCACGACACAATATCCACACGCAATGTGATTATGATGCTTTACATTTACATTGTAATTTGCCAAATTTAGATCGTTTTCTTTTTCTCAATGGCATACGTAGACAATAGCGGTGAACATTGTGTGGGAACCCAGTGACTGATTCTCTTTTGTTGCTTGTCGTAACTTTATGAACCAGGGAACAAAACATCATCAAAATGAAGATATTGTTACAACCATTGGTTTTGTCAGCTTCAAGGTTTTCTTTTTTACGTTAACAATACATTTACATCCAAACAGTTAACATTAGTTCTTTGAAGCTTATAAACCGCAGCTAATATACCGCTCTTTATTGCATGTTACAGGAAATAAGGCATTCAATTTGTAACCCCACTCTTCCTGTTAAGAACAATGTTTATTTATATGAAGAGGACTACATTACTTTCACATTGGTGATAATTTACATGCAATTGTCGGGTAAAGTCCCTGCATTAGAAATACTTGTCATGGGGGCTACGTTCTTTGTTTGGCTTGTGTTATACAAGCAACGCTGATAGTTTTGATTTGAAAACAAGAGAGTCCCATAGATTATATGGGTGTTTTTTCCTGTGTGTCCCTTTATACGTTGCTATTGTCAGTTATGTATAAACAAGCTGTGCTCATATATCTTTCAAAAGTTTAAAGTCATGAATTTGCGTGTTAGAGAAGCAGAGCCGAGGTGACAAGGCAGTAATTTATCCGTTACATTAGTTGATTGGAAAACGACTTCAGAGATTACCTATAAGTTTTCTGTTGAAGTTGAAGTTGTCAGGAGGGTCTGTGTCATGTGACAACCGCGGCGATGTGTCCTTGTGGAATGTGGGCCAAGTAGAAAAACTTCCAACCACTGGTGCTGACTTGAATATATTGGTTGATATGCCTGGAAGAGGGTAAAGGCATTTTTCTGTTCCAGGAAACTGGCTGTCTTATAACTTTCAACTTATTTGGGCGTTTCTGGGGTAAGCTTTGGGTGAATTTGAGCATGTTGCTTTATTCCTTGAAATTAATAACATATAGCACTTGTTTAAAGTGCGCTGCATGCCTTTGGGTAATTATGTAATGTTTCTAACCTTTATTCTGTTCACATCGTTCCTACATTTGCATTTTACATTTATCTGTTAAGGCTGATGTTGAATTTTTCAACACCCGTATTGAGAGAGATAATTGAAAATACTGATATTTACATCATGTCATGTTTTCATAAGGCAAGAATAGCACTGATGTATAAATGAAAGGTAATGTACATCAAGGTAGCATTTTCGGAGTGAAGGTAAGATGAGGAAAATACGTCAAATTTTATCTGGTTTTGCTAGCAATATATCAACTGTTTTTCTCAAAACATTGCCTCTGCTTTAAACTGTAGGGCGTTACGTAAATAAAAACATTTTCTTTAGCAATATATTATGCTGCCATGATTTTATTTCCAGCAGACCTCTTTTAACAATTGGAGAAATGTAATAACGTTCATCGTTGGTGGCTCGAGTCTGTTGGAAGTTTAGATCTGTAAATGCCTCAAACAGATACTCAGTCATTTTTTGTGATGTATGACACCAGTTTTGTAACAAAAAGGAATCCTTTACAGCCAGTGGTGCATTACTTTGATTCATCGTATCCTTTAAAGTGCACAACATCGGTTTAAATGGATTGCTTGACAGTTATCAAATTTCACCAGCTGCTAATCGTCAAAATGTATTATTCTGAGTAAGCCAGGACAACGGTGCGTACGCCATTTTAATGTGCTGAGCTACGATTGCATAAGCAAATATAAAGCCTCGTCAGTGTTTGATTGAGGAAGCGAAGCAGTGGTTTTAATGCATTTCTTCCATTTACCATCAGATCAAATATAATATGACGCATTTCAAAGCAAACGAGATTAATGTGAAACCCCTATGACGTGTTGAGCAAAAGTGTAAAAAGGCAAAAATAGTTAAATTTAATTTAAAGGAACATCCTCTCCTATTATATTAAATGTAAATATAATACAGCGTTTGCCACAGCATAATGTAATGAAATACCACAACACGTTACCTGAGAATTCAACCAGTCCCCCAATGTGAACATGAACTTTAACGGAGGTTTGAAACACTTTATTATTTCCCCAGCGTCGTCTTGTGTCCTGACATCACTCTCTCATGAGATGCCTCAGGAAATGCCGATACTCACACGATAATTTAAATGGGCATATACGCACATAATATCTATTCTCTTTTTACTCAAGTAGGTGTTCAAAATGATGGAAAAAACACGTTGTAGACTAGGTATCTTTTATTGACTGACGTCAGTCAAGACTGGTGTTGCATTGCGTGCAAAGAAACAAAGCGCAGGCATCGATACAAACACAGTGTATTCTGATTCATAGAAACAGCCTTAAGTTACTTGGATTTTCTAAATTCCGAGACGCCTCAGCGTTTTGGGGTCCTGTGAACTGTTCACTGCGATCGCGTTTCATTGTTGCATTATTGAGAGGCCAGCAATGTTCACCGTGTCGATATTAGATTTACGATGATTGAAAAATGCATTTGACAATCATCGATTTAAGGTAACTTCATTTAGGCCCCTGATCATCTTGTGAGCGGTGCCATAGATTTGCTTTGAAAATGAGACGTTTTATGAGAAACACTGAGTTATTGACGGACGACCAATATATCTGGTTTTGTCTCTTCTGTTGTTTATATATATATATATATATATATATATATATATATATATATATATATATATATATGTAAAGGCCATACTGCCATCTATTTTACGTTTGTCTTTATTTAACTTTAAACTTGCTATCTAATTCCACGGCGTGAGGCGTCTTCTCTTATGGTGTCGCTGTCTACTGTCGTTTCAACCCTATATGGCACTGACACATGATTCTGTCAAATACAAACCTGGTTACGGGACTGATGTGTACAGTGTGTCATATTTTATTTCTTTTATTCCAGACGTGGCCCTCGCCTTGGAAGGTTCCTGAGGCTGATGTCAGAATAAAGTTTCTGATTGTTCAAAGAAGAAACTAACTGTGAGTAACATTCGTTATTTTCATTTTATTGCTTAAAATTGTCAGAATCAGTACATTCATGAGCCTGGTCATAAGATAGTTTAAGATATTTCAATAACTATTTTCAAATACCAAACCACGTAGGAATAAAATTTATCTGGCTAAAATTGACATTTATCTTCTCAATCCAATTTTTATAAAGGTCACGTATCTCCCTTCTGTTTTATCATTTGAAAACTAGTGTCTCTTGGTCCACACTCTTCCCAAGCACAGGAAGAGTAAAGACAGTTTCCTTCTTTTCATTTACGTTGCTCTTACTTGACAATTTTTGGCGCTTCATTTCTTTATTTCAATTTTACTGAATAAATACATTTATTTATATGTTATCTTTTATATTTTACGTTAATTAATGCGAGGAAAAAGTTCCATACCCTTTTGTGTGTATTCGCATGGATATTAATAATGACTTCCATGAAATCCCGTCACTTAACTGTCAATATCCTACAAAACATAACTCATAAATTAGAGCGCTATTAATCCAATTTGCAAACGGTGACTCAAATATCCGATTTTAATCGATTGTGATCACTCCAGCGTCACATGAGATCAGTTAATTAGGTATGTCAAACCCGCTGATGTTTTAATGGCTGTTCCATTCCTGGTAGTCACATAATTAAGCTCTGGGTATGCATCTGCTGTTGTTTTTATGAACATTGGTTCACTTTGAAGTTTCCCAGTGAAGTAGTACTGATTGTAGGCGATTAAATATTTCTGAAGTACATAGAAAGATAACAATGGACAAAAACAAAAGAAAAAATTAATTGATTAATAGAAAAAGTGAAAATAACATTTGGTATAATATGCATTCCCTAAAAGAATAAATAGAAACGATTAAAAGAAATAGTGAAAATTACATTTGTATTTCATAGAGAGACTCATGGTAATTATTTTAAAGGAAACTTTTTACAACTTGGAGTATAAGAAAATGGTTACATTTAGTAAGGAAGCCCCATTTCATTTTGTAATAAAATTTATTTTATCATTAAGTTTTGCAAAATTTACGATCTTCTTATCTTCAGTGAACACCTTGATTAATGCTGTAATGAAAAAGGCAATGCGGGAAGCACAGTAAACATTTAAAGCACTCCCCAAACTACCCCCCTACCAAAAGCGTGTCACCCCTATTGCAGTTTGTAAAACGATACGGAAAATTAGGTGACAAACCAATTCTGCGGGCTGAAATTCTATCTCTTTCTCCAAGGGACTGTATTTTTAAACTATAAGAGGTGTTGGAGCATTTCAATGGTTACGTTTGACAGGTTAACAAACTACTTGTTGCGTACCTCATTTAATGGTGATCGGTTGTCTAATCGTTACGTAAAAGTGCATTGAAAACTACGGGTACTCTTGTAGCACTGTACATAAATGTGGTAGGGGTGACACGTTCTGATAGGGGGTTAAGCTGCAATTATTATTATTATTATTATTATTATTATTATTATTATTATTATTTTACAGTATGTTAACAGACGGGTCTGTCGAATGTTTCTGCGTATATGACATGCAGGACTTTCAGACGAACAAATACTATGACTCATGTCAATGTGTCTTGCATTGCTATTCATACACTCAGATTAATTTGAGAAAGGAGACGGAATGTGTCGAGACAGATGAAATCCTAGCAGACTAAAATCACGCACAAAGCCAGTTCGGATATCTATAGCTACAAACTCAGCTAACATTCACAACATCCGATGAATAATCCAACATGTATCTGTTCAAACCTCCCATTATTCCATTGGTGCTCTGAATAACGCTTGGCGTATTAAATTCAATTCCACAAAAATCAAAAATCAATATTACCAATATACTTTTGTTATGCGTCGTCACATATACTTAGGGTAGAGGGACCTGTTTAATGTAACAATTGCTACATAACATGCATATGTCTGTCATCCAATATTAATTATAAAGGTTTCCGTCTCAATAAAATACAATAAATGAAGCTTCTTTCAAGAGTCCTGGAAATCGTACGTTTTGTCAACACTATGTTTCAGCAAACATTATGGCGTTGCTTGAGTGTTGTGTTTGACAGAGCTCACGCTTTGAAAAAAAAACAATTAATCTGACTGGCGTGACTACTGTTTTGCAACAAGATAAAACGTGAAAAGCTGCATTTATTTGTTTTAAATGGACATAGCGTATGATTTTAAACACACGCTCATAGCGTATGATTTTAAACACACGCTAAGTACGTAAACCACTTCTTGCTAAATTTATCTTAGGACAGTCAATATTATACATTTATCATTTCTTTCAAGTTTACCAGGATTGTTTGGAACAAATACGGATATCGATAAAAGATCGGATTGCTTATTAAGGATTCGAGCGCAAATTTCTAGGAAAAATAATGGGTATTTGGGTATTGCCTTTCCTCTAGTTTAAATTTGATGTGGATCTGAATCGCAGCAAATATGATGGTAAGCAAGACAACAATAATGTGAAATCAAGGCATCTCACAGCTATTACATGGTCAATTTCATAAATGACGACCTGCAATTTCCGAAGGGAAGGGAAACAAGAATATCATCCGGTATACATCAATTTAGGCGATCTGATTGCTGCTTTGTGTTTTGATGTAATAACTTTTTTCATAATGAAGGTCGGTAGGGTGACCGTGCTGTTTCGTCGTATTGAAATATTGAGAGAGAGAGAGAGAGAGAGAGAGAGAGAGAGAGATTTCATAAAGATCTGCACTTGACATTAAAACAACACGAGGTTATTTTTCCCATTACGGCACGATAAATGACCTTTACTCAAGCAAATTCAAAACCCATCACGTTTAGACAATACCATAAATGTTTTCAATCAGAACAAAAACGTTAAGTGGTCCGTATGGAATATAAATCACCAGAAAACACTTTTTGGACCCACGAAAATGCACCACATGTTGAGAAGGTGGTCACTTGGTTTTCACTAACAGAGCAATTTATGTGGAGATATATATATATGTGCAGTGATGAAATAGCTACTCGGTATAAGTTAGGCTGTCCTAATATGTAAGCAAATGTGGTACAATTGAGTATTTAATTTGACTTTTATCATAATTTTTTTTCAGTTTCCTAAATCATGGTTTTTGATTCATTGTTTTTTTAGCTTTATTTGATAAAAAGGCAAAACGGAAATCAAAATGATATGACATGATATGATTTAATTTTTAAAATTTAAATTATTATACGATTTGGTCTTTTTTACAGAAAGTTTACGTGTCAGCTGCGCTGAATAGTTTGTTTGTTTGTTTGTTTTATTTCATTTTTTTGTTTTTTATTTTTTTGGCGTCAAATGTGAGGTGTATCAAAATTAGAGAAAGAGAGAGAGAGAGAGGTATAAAGCGTAAAATATTACCATTTAGATATATCGTGACTTGTGTTGTGCTTTGAAAGTGCGTTCGTAATGTCCTCAACTGTTGAGAAAAGTATTTAATAGCGGCATTTAATTGACGATAAACATTTCCAATGGATCAAACGCGTAGAATCCTTTTACATAGCCTTCCTAATGATAACACTGATTAACTCGGTAATAGTGGTGATTTTAGTCTCATGTTGCTAGCTGTCAATTCCTGGGAAAAGTTTATTACTACGGCAAGTCATTAATAATGCGTGATTAACAGTTTTATCTTTCTCTATTTTATCATTATTATTTTGAGCAGTTTTGAGCATAATTTATGTGATTAACTTGGACATTACATTTAGCGAACGTTCCTCAAGTTCAAGTGTTTGTGCCTCCAATTGGATGTCTCATTTCTTTCATGAACAGTGTGTTTTCTCACCTTATTTATGACGTCCAAAAATGTAAACAAAAATCGCAGAGCTTGAAAAAGTTCAATATTATTAGAAAATGAAGGGAATGGGGTATTTACTGACCTTACATTTTCCTGCTTCAAAATATCTTGTGGTTATTATAACTTTATTTGAAAAATAAAGCATGAGAGGAACAGATTATAAAGTCCTACGCTCTAAGTTTCTTTACGTTTCACTGACGCTGCGTTTTGTGTAATAGAATGATCCATAAAGATGTAATTAATCAATAGAAAAGCTTTTGTGCACAAAGTTTATGTTACTTAAAGCATCATTAATATATTTACTGTTATGTATAATCATTCTGTTATGTATGATTCGTGTGTTTTGCAGATATATTGACTTGTGCTTCTTGTAAAGACGTCAGAACTGGACGGCTAAGTGGCTGATCAGGATTGCAGACTTCCTGGAGCATCACAATGAATAGAGTGGATGATGTACGTGACTACATGT